CAGTTTTTCCTCTTTCCTAGTTCAGTCCCAATAGCATTCAAACATACTCTGTAATCTCATATTTAAAAATTGTCAGCTGCATGATCCTTACCAGTAACTGCCCCATTTTCTTTTCCCTTCATAGCAAAGCTCAGGTGTTCAAATTTGCTTTCTCCAGTTGTTTATTTCCTATTTTGTTAACCACCACCAATCAAGCTTAGTTCTACCACTCTAACAAAACTGGTTTTAAGATCATCATTGGCCTTTTCACTGCCTAATCAAAAGCCAATTTTCATCCCTCATCTTACTTAACCTTTCAGAAGTGCTTGACATACTTGATCATCCTCTCATCCTGAAACACTTTTTAAATCCTTCCAAGATAATACACTCTGCTGATGGTCTTCCTACCTCATATATGCTGCTTGTCTCACACATGGGTCCTCATTGTTCTGATTTCTAAAAGTTGGAGTTTCTAAGGGCCCAGTTTTCTATGTCCTCCTTCTACACCAGTGCTTTCAGTCCCCTGTCTTTGAATATACAGTGTAAACCTCCAAAAATCTCTAGCATGGACTTCTCCCTCATACTGTAGGCATCCATCTCCAACAGCCTGCTTGATATCTCTAATTAGAGGTCTAATAGGCATCTAAAAGACTTTGCCCAGTTAGCTAAAGTTAAAAGCACAATGAAAATGCTAGCAAAAATATGAGGCAACAGAAACTTTCTTGTGAGTGGCCAGAATATAAATTGGGCATGGACAAACTTCATAAACAAAATTTAAGTGAAAAATGCTAGGCACAAAAGCATATTGAATGATGAAATATTTTTTTAAAAGGCCAAATTAATCTATGGTATTAGAACTCAAGATAGTGGTTACCTTTGGGGAAGAAGAAAGAGGCTTTGATTTGAAGGAAAAATTACAGAAAACTGGTAATGTTCCATTTCTTCACCTGGATGATAGTTTTATAGATATACTCACTTTGTACACTTACATTATTCTTTTCCATTTAATAAATTAAAAATTCTAAAACTGAACTCTGATTCTCATCCCTTCTGTAAATCTACTTCTTCCATGGTAGTCTCTATATCTACCATGGAAGATCTTTTTCAAGTTGTTCAGGCTAAAGTGCTTAAAGGCTTACTGGCTTTCTCTCTCTCTCTCTCTCTCTGTCTAAACCATCAGCAAACCTTGTCCTCTATATGTTCCAAAAATGGTTCAATCCAACTACTTCCTATCATTTATTACTAATACCTTTGTCTAAGCCACCACTAGTTCTTACCTGGACTACTGGAAGAGCAGTCCAACTGCACTCCTGCTTGTACTCCTGAACTCCTATTACTTCTTGCCTATACTGCAGCAGCTGACCTCTTTAACACATAATCAAACATTGCTAAAACAAAATCAAACATGTTGAGCATGTTACTCCCCTGCTCAACAGCCTCTCTCATTCTGAAGAAAATGCTAAATTCTTTCTGTTGCCAAAAAATCCTGCAGGGATTCAGGACACTGAAACACCTAAAGAAATTACACATAAAGGTGTTAGAAAAAAAATTTTTTGTTAATAATAGAGAATTCCTTGCCTCATAAACAGTCGGCTATAATTTCTGAGATGTTTTTATTTGGGGGAAGTTTTGCTAAAGGATGTTAGTCTTCTTAGGGAAACTGAATCCTTCTGATTTTTTTCTGGATTAATTATAACTTCAGAGGAAAAGTTGTAACTTCTTCCAATTCTCTCTGTAAATTTTTCTTTTCTCTCAGTATTTTATTAAGAAACTAATGTGTTATACTGTGTTCATGGCATATATTGCATAGAAATTACAGAATTAAGTTAAAAAGACTAAATGAAGTACAATTTAGTCATTTCCTCAGGTGATAAAGGACAAAACTTTAGCTCATCAGTGTATATATGTAAGGCATGCCTCAGTAAGATTAATATACTGGCTAATCTTGGTTGTCAACTTGACTGGATTGGCAAATGCCTAGATTAGTGAAACACACATTGGGGTGTGTTATTGAGGCTATTTCCAGAGATGATTACAGAATATGAGGGTTCTGACCTAATGAATGATTTAATCCATTGATGGATTCAAAATGTGAATAGGTTATTAGGAAATGGTAGAACTGTAGAAGGTGGGGCCTGTTGGAAGTGAGCCCTTGGGGCTATCCAACCCTCACCCTAGCCCCTTCCTATTGCAGCTCCCCTGCTTCCTATCTGCCATGACGTGAACTCTATGTCCTCCCTGCCATGATGGATTGAAACCATGAGCAGAATAAATCTTTCCTCCTATTAAGTTGTTTTGCCAGGTATTTCATCACAGCAATGATAAAAATAACTAATAACAATCACAAATCCAATTGCCTTGGAAAATTGGGATATAATCCATATAGATAATAGAGATACTTGTGAAATACTCAAAAAGCAGATACAGAAACCAGGATCGTGGACCTCACTGCTTATCCCTTGTCAAAGCATGAATTATCTGGATGTCTTTGGAAGTGGTTACCACACTTTCAAAGTAGGAAAAAATGAAGGATAAGTGAGCAGAAGAATTACTTTTCCTTTAAGTGTAATTAAGTCAGGTGGTGATCATATATTCTTGATTCTCTGAATTTGATCTGTCAGTATCTATGAAGAGACAAAATAGTGGGACAAACTAGAATCTTTCAGGGTTAATGACAACTTTCCACATAAAGTCTATTTCTTTATATAGGAATCAGAGTGGCACAAATCTCATTGCAGAGACTCTGGTGTTCTGCATTTTGGGATCTCCTTTGATACAGAATGATCCTTTACTTGGATATAGACACTTCATTCCTTTGTACTGTGTAGGCAGTCCCAATGCTAAGCAAAGCTATAACTTCATATCCATTCTTAAATTTCCATTTCTATATGCAATGGGATAATTGTAATTCCTTCACAAGGAAAGCCTTGGGGAATAAATATCAAAATAGCATTCCTAACTGGATGCCGGTGGCTCACACCTGTAATCCTAGCTACTCAGAAGGCAGAGATCAGGAGGATCACAGTACGAAGCCAGCCCAGGCAAATATTTGAGACCCTATCTTGAAAAACCCTTCACAAAAATAGGGCTGTTGGCATGGCTCAAGGTGAAGGCCCCGAGCTCAAGCCTCAGTACCACACACACAAAAAAACATAACATTCTTTTATAGTTGCTTCAAATTACAACAGAAAATGGTCCCAAGACTTAAATGGCTTTCCTAAATTCTATCTGTTCTTCACTGCCTGGCATCTTCATTTAAGGAGATCACAAAATTCCAAAGCAGGTCATTATTTATATAAGCAAAAAAACTGCATTGAGTTTTTTCACTTGTTTGTGGGGAGTCTAAAATTTTCTTTTACATAAATGATTATCAATTTCTGTGCAATCCCCTAGAGTTCTTTATGTTCAAGGCCAGGCTGATGGCCTGGGGACATGGCTCAAGTGGTAGAGTACCTGAGGCTCTGAGTTCAAACCCCAGTACCATGAAAAAAAATAGAACTTGGGCATTTTCTCAAGTTCAGGCTGAAAAATTACCAGTTACTCTTAAAAGAGCTAAACCCCACCCCCCCCAAAAAAAACTATACTATATCTGGAGAAACTATAAGGGGCCCATCACTTTTTTGCTAACCTATATTTTTTCCTGCACAGGGCTACAACAGGTGGTCACAAAGATTGGAATTGTACCTCTCTAGGAGTGTTGCTATACTGTCATCTTCTTCTGATACAAGGTGGCCAAACATAAGTCAAATGACCAATACTTCGCACTATTTTTGCACTGTGGTGAAGAAGCAAATTGATTCTACCTCCCAGAATTTCTGAGAACCAATTTAAAAACAGGACAACACTCAAAATTACATTGTGTGTACTGAACAGCTAATCTGTGAGGCTTCTAGGAGCAGCCACAGCTACTAGCTAAAGGAGTGAGCACTGAAATCTAAGTCAATTGCTCTTTCCAGAGTAGACTTTAGAAGATAAAACACAGAACAAACAACAGCATGTCTAGGATGGGTCCCACATCCTAAACCAGTTAAATTACATTCTCTGGGGTGGGGCCGTGGCAACTGAACTTTGTAGGGTCCTTAGTTCTTATGGATTGATATGCCCTCTTCAAATTACATGTTGGAAATGTAATCTCCAATTCAATGGTATTAGGAGTTGGGGAGGGGGTAGAGATGTGTTAGTTTGAGGGTAGAGTCTTCATGAATGTGATTAATGTCCTTATGAAAAGATATGAAAGAGTCTGCTTTCTCTCTGCTTTCTACCATATGAGAAAAGATCTACCTGCAACCAGGAAGTGGACCCTCACTGGACACCAGATCTACCAGTGACTTATCTTAAGACTTCCCAGCCTCCAGACTTGTGACAAATAAATTTCTGTTGTTTGAACCATCTTTGTAGTCTATGGTAATTTGTTATAGCAGCCCAAGCCCAAGCTAACGGGCTCCTAAGGATTCCTGTGTGCAACTAGGGTTACGCAATATTGGTATAAGCTGTAAAAGCAGACCTTTGCAGTTGTGATAAATTCCTAGAATGTTAAAAATATGCAAGAAGACAAAATACTATGATTTTTTTTTTGATGGGGTTTCTTTGTATTTAAAGTCCAGCCTGGACTTAAACTTGTGGGCCCAATCAATACTCACACCTCAGCCTCTTGACTAGCTGGGACTACATATATATACCATGTCACCTGGATACAAAATTTTAATACTGATACTGAGTTAGGCTATTATATGCACCTGAATTTGAGGGTATTTTACAATTATTTTTATTAAGAATCAGTTATCTAGACAACTTAAGTGCATTAGAACAGGAGCATAGTAGATTCCTAGTTACTGAAGCAAATTCCTTCTACTAGTGAAACATGCATAAACATACACTTTCTAGATGCAGCACACAAAGTGCCAATGTATACTAAAATCATTTAAGAATATATTGTGAATATACAAAACTGAGTATAAAACTCCAAACTACCTTTGAAATCTACTCCAAATCTTTCATTTCAGAGGAAATTAAAATTTAAAATAGTTGAGTTTTCCAATGTCACAAGGTTACTTAATAACAATTGGATTTGTTCAACCCAAGGTACTTTTCATTCCATAGTATAATAGTAAAAAGTTAAAGTATTTCATGGAGTTTCACAATTCACTCTGATTCTTCGGTGCTTAACAAAAGGACAAGCCAAAGTAAATGCAGCCCCTACATTTATGATGTTCCTAGAGTACTCATGCCAGGGTGTAGTCTCTGATGTTTGTTGAGAGCAGAACGATACCTGAAGGATTTTCCACAATTACTACATCCGAAAGGTTTCTCCCCTGAATGAATTCTCTGATGTTGAACAAGATATGTACTCTGGCTGAAAGTCTTTCTGCATTCATTACAGTTATAAGGTTTCTCTCCAGTGTGAGTATTCTGGTGTTCAGTCAGGTGAGTGCTCCGGCTAAAGGCTTTGTCACATTCATTGCACTTATAGGGCTTCTCTCCAGTGTGAATTCGCTGATGCTGAGTCAGATGGGAGCTCTGGCTAAATGTTTTCTCACATTTATTACACTGGTAGGGTTTTTCTTCCGTGTGAGTTTTTTGATGTTGAGCAAGAGATGAGCAGTGTCGAAAGGCCTTTCCACACTTGGGACACTCATAAGGCTTTGCTCCTGTGTGAATTCTCTTATGTTGCGTAAGGTGTATGTTCTGGTTGAAGGCTCTCCCACATTCATTACACTTGTAAGGTCTTTCTCCAGTATGGATTTTCCTATGCTGAATAAGGGATGAGCCATAGCTGAAGGTTTTCCCACATTCATGGCACTGATAGGGTTTCTCTCCAGTGTGAATTCTTTCATGCTTAGCAAGAGATGAACTCCGAATAAAGGCTTTCCCACATTCTTTACATTCATAGGCTTTCTCCTGAGTGTGAGTTTTCTGATGTTGGTTAAGGTTAGAGAGATAACTGAAAGCCTTTCCACATTCACTGCATTCAAAGGGTTTTTCTCGGGTATGAATTCTCCGATGCTGAGTAAGGGATGAGCAGTAACTGAAGGCCTTTCCACACTCATTGCATTTGTAAGGTTTTTCTCCAGTATGGATTTTTCAGATGTTGAGCAAGGGATGACCAGTAACTAAATGATTTCCCACATTCTGCACAATCGTAGGGTTTCTCCCCAGTATGTGTTTTTTGATGTTGAGTGAGATTTGAGTGCTGACTGAAGGCTTTCCCACATTCATTGCATTCGTATGGTTTTTCTCCAGTATGAATCATATGGTGACGGATAAACGTTGAAGGCCCATTGAAGGCCTTCCCACACTCATTACATTTATAGGTTTTCTCTCCAGTATGAATTTTTTGATGTTGAGTAAGGTGTGTGCTCCTGGTAAAGGTCTTCTCACATTCATCACATTTAAAAGGTTTTTCTCCTGTATGAATTTTCTGATGTTCCATAAAGTGGCCTCTCTGGCTAAAGGATTTTCCACAATCATTACAAGTATATGGTTTCTCACCGGTATGAATTCTCTGATGCTGAACAAGATGGGTTCTCTGACTAAAGGCTTTTCCACATTCATCACACTTATAGGGTTTTTCTCCAGTGTGAATTCTTTGATGTTGTACTAGAGATGGACCCTCAATGAAACCTTTTCCACACTGATCACATTTATATGGTTTATCTCCAGAATGAATTCTTTGATGGTTTATGAGGTTTTCACTCCGGCTGAAAGCTTTTGCACATTCATTACATTTGTAGGGTTTTTCTCCAGTATGTGTACGCTGGTGGCGAATGAGAGCTGAACAATAACTAAAAGCTTTACCACATTCATTGCACTTACAAGATTTCTCTTTTTTAATTGGGTGTGAATTCTGTTTGACACTTGTTTTAGCAGAGGTCTGTCCTGAAGATGTTTCTGGTACCTGTGTTACAAGGCTTGAATTTACATTGATGCTTTTTTCAAATTCATTATTTATAGGGCCTCTCTCCCAAGTGGGTATTGTCTTCTCAGTTATTTTTATTTCCTTAGGCCATGTCTGCTGGTTTGCTTGCTGCCTCTCTAGACTGCCTTCAGTTTCCCAAGTTTCTATGACACTGGAACTCCAAGAATCATCCCTTTTGTGTTTTTCCACTGTTGCCTCTGAAGACCGATCTTCAGAAATGCCCAGTTCTGGAAGTGATACATTATTTGCAGGTCTTGTATCACAGTCTGAAAGAAAGTAAAATGCAGAATTCACTGTAGTAATAATTAATGAAACTAAAAAACCTCTGGAAATACCAAGGGTTTTCAAATAGATAGCCCTATTACTAAGGGAGAAAGTTATAAGGAACTAAGGAGAACAAATCAATTGTGAAAGTGGCAAGACAACATCTACATTAATTTCATAGATAATCTTTAAAAACAAGGAAACTGCATTTTAAGGTGATAGTTAATTTAAAAGATGACCACAGAGATGGCTAAGAGTAGGCAGAGATGGACTGACTATGCAGGAGGCAGCTGAACTTGGATTCCATGCGAATGAATAATAAAACAAAAATCTAAGAACCATGATTTAAAGACAGGACAAATAGGAAAGAGTTGGCTAAGGTCCCATCACTGTTATCTCAGAACACTAACATAATTGTTGCTTCATTGCTAAAAAAATTAGAAAGCTAGAAACAGTAGAATGAAATAATTTATTTGGAGGAAGATAACAAGTTCACATCTAGACATTTTGAGAATTAGGCAAAGAAATGGAGGACTGGACTACAGTAGTGTTTGTGTGTGTGTGTGTAGAAAATGTCAAAAGTAGCAGTGTAGCTGGGTGCCAGTGGCTTACACCTATAATCCTAGCTATTCAGGAGGCAGAAATCAGGAGGATCGAGGTTCAGTGCCAGCCCCTAGCAAATAGTTTGAGAGGCCATATCTCAAAAAAACCCATCACAAAAAAGGGCTAGCAGTGTGGCTCAAGCACTAAGAATGTCTGCATTACAAGCATGAGGCCCTGAGTTCAAACCCCAGTGCCAGCAAAAGAAGAAGTAGCAGTATAACCAGGATGTTCAAATGTAAGATAAGAAATATATCTCTCAAAAGAGGAAAGAAAAGAGTTGAAGCCATAGGAATGCTGTGAGAAAGAGCAGAGGTAAAAAACATTCTTAAGCGTGTGAGAGTAATGGGAAGAATAAAATGTACTAAAGAAAACAGTTTATCAGCAAACACACAAAACAAGAGAAGAAACAAAAAGGAAAACAGATTAACAGGAAGTACAGTGTTGCCCTAAAAGCAGAGTGATCAATGCTGGCATATTCTGTAAAGAACAAAAGCTGTGTTTAAAAACAGTACTTCTTCAGTTTTACTGGTAGAGAACTCTGAAGCTTATCATGTTGTAAGCCCTGTCACTATCACTACCACTACTGTTGCAAGCATCAGCAGTGCAACAGACCCCAGAGCTGCCTACCATCCCCTCCATTAGGCTCCATAGATAATGGTGCAGTATGCACCAGGGTAGGCACCCTCATATCTGCAGAACTTATCCAACAAGGACAAGATCAATGCAACATAAACTATGGGAATGCCAAGTGATTATGAATACATTTTCTTCAACAGGAATGACACTAAGATGATGATAACCAGTATCTCCTGGATGTACAGCATAGTGAAGGATATGGAGAAAATGAAGTCTGATACTGTTAAAGGAGAAAAGGACATGGAAGTGGCTGATGGCCAACACTTATTGGAGACTCAGTTGAGGGTAACATGATGCAGACCATAATGAATATTATTCATGTTGTCATGTCCTCTACTCAATAATTAAGAGAATTACCTGGGATAAATAATGAAGGATTAGAGAAAGTTCCACAAGACCATGCTGAACACCACCACTCCTACTCAGAAAGCAAATTCCATTTTAGTACATACAAAGTCTGTGTGCAATGAGGGCTAAGGGTGTAGATCAAGTGGTAGAGCACTTGCCTAGTAAGTCCTATGAGTCTCTGGATTCAACCCCTAGTACTTCAGAGGTGGGAAAAAGTCTATGGGCATTGGTCAAAGGATACCAATACACAGTGCAAATGGAGAAGTAATTGGGTGTTCTGATAACCTAGTTGCAAAAGAACAAGTTATACCAGTGAGACAGAATCTATATCAGAATTATAGATCATGATTCTGCACGGCCAGCTTAGAGAAGATGGCAATAAAGAGGATTAAAAAAAAGATGGTGCTAAAGCTGAGGACCTGTAGTTACCTTAATATAGGTACTGCTATAACTTCAATTACCTGTACAGATGTCTACAAAACTGAGTCATTTTTTATACAGACAATAGCCAACTCATCAACTAAGAATAAATCTGTTCAAATGATGGAGAAAGCAAGACTGAGGACTGATTTCCCAACATTATCATGCTTGGTTAAATTCCAGCAATAAAAAGTAAACAAAAGAATGAAGCTAAAATACCTCAAATGTTTTGCCTTTTGTCCACTGACCAGATAACTGAAATTATCTATGTAACATAGGAGAGTTTATTATTTTTACCTAAATGCATCTCTTTTGGGCAATGAATAAAATAGTTGTTTTGTTTGTTTGTTTGTCTTAAACACTGGGTTTTTTTTTTTCAATATACATTTAAATGTTTTAAAATTATTTTCCCTCTTAAGTTAGGAGTTTTTAAAACTTCATTTTTAATTTGTAATAAAACTTGACAACTTGCTTTTTCCAAAGTTTACAAACTGTAAGCACCAGCTAATAAAATTCTTAATTAAAAAAAATCAAGAGTTTTCTAAATCATGTTTCAAGAAACCATATTCATGGTTAGAGAAAAGGGAGGGAAGAAAGAGCGTATGGAGGAAAAGGAAGAGGGAGAGAAAAAGAGGGAAAAGAGAAGAGGGAGAGAGAAAAAGACAGAAGAGAAATGTTATATTCTATGAACCCTGTTGGAAACTCATAATGCCTAATTTAGTGGTACTCCAGTAAAAAACCTCAAACAATTTTAGGTAATTTAGCATTTGAAACTGAAATATGGCACACATTCCTCTCTTCCTCTGAAAAAGAACCTCCATCTTCCACCCCATTAACCCTAGAAATGTATTGCTTATCTATCTTTTTCAGGGTCAAGTCCCTGAAAAAGTTACTTTGTGTAGTTTGGGAACTAGTAATTTAGAAGAAAATTATTCATAACTTCAAAGATAGCATGATAAAGTGGTAAGAGTCAGAAGCTATAATGAGATTTAAAAAGGAATACGTGATTTAAAAAGAAAAAAGAAGGCTGTTAAGTGTGGAGCTTACTTTTGTTAAATTTTTTTAGGAAAAAAGGAGAGATGGGATGGTGGCCAGAAAGATTGACAGTGTTGAGTAAAGGTATCTAGAAAGATAGGCTATATATTTGTTTGATGGTAATAGTGATGGAGCCTAGACCCAAAATAGGAAATTATAAGGGCTGAAAAGTGAGATGATAATTAAAGTCCCAAAGGAAGTAGGAAGAGATGGAACTCAGAGTGTAGGTTGAGAGTTTTGCTTTAGAAAAAGGCAGGAAAGACACCTCTTCTAAAAAGAAAGTAAAAAATAGAATTTATATTGAGATAGTAACATGACAGTTCATCAGAGTCTAGAACAGATGGGTTCTCATTTCTTCACAGGAAATACTTCAAGGAGCAGTGTGCACATCTGTGCATAAAATCCTTTCTTACTGGGCTGGCAGCTAGAGTTAGTATCATTTATCTCCTGGCATCGTCACTTACCTCCAAAGGTACCTACTGGAATGCCTGGCTCCACATTCCATGGCTCTGTCCCTTGTTCTAACTGGGAAATCACTTCAGGTTTGGAAACTTGCAGTCCTATCAAGAGAGCAAAAAAAAACCAATTGGAAACCTGTCTGTAATAAGGGAAAAAAACCGTATCAGAATGCAGTCCCACCAGTCTGTCTGTAGGGGATGTTATGTGGGACAAATATAACAGTGGATAGCATATTAAGCTTCACTGTTACTAAATCCCAGACATCATGGGTGTATAATTTAGAAACTGATCTGGGTTCAGGAAAACTGTTAGTTCCTCTGCTTATTTGAAGAGTAGAAACTGTTTCAGAAAAATTTCAAAATTTAGAAACTACTGGTTCCAAAACTTATTTTTTTTTCTTTTATTATTCATATGTGCATACAAGCCTTGTATGGTTCCTAAACTTAAAGGCAAACTATATCTAAGAACAAGAAAACTTTCCTCTTCCATACACCCTCATCTCTTCCCTCAGGGGAGTCATCCTTACCTATAGAGACCAGATGTGTATAATTTTCCAAAGTCACATCCCTAAACAAATCTCTCTGTGTAGGATCCAGGTGTTTCCATTCTTCCTGGGTAAAGTCTACTATCACATCCTTGAAGGTCACTGATTCCTGAAATACACAACATTTTCTATTTATCTTTAGGAGATGGGTAAAGTTAGCAATACTGACAGAAGTAAGGCAGGCTACGAACTATCTAAAAAACAGTATGGCATGTTTACCTTTGTAAAAATATGAAAACAACACCTCACCACAGAAGTACTCTTAAGAATTAAATAAGAAATGTTCCATGTGGAGGGCTACAAATGTAGCTCAATGGTAGAGCATTTGCCTAGAATCTGCAAGGCCCTAGCTTCAATCCCAAGCACTGCCCCCCCCACCCCCACAAAAAAAATTACATGTGAAAGGCTTAATTAAGGGTCTGGCATACAGCAAGTGCTCACTTAATACTGGCCAGTGTTGTTCATCATTGTCAACATCTCTGTGTTCTAAGATACATCAAATATTACGAGCATAACTGCTATCACCAGTAATATTTCTTCCTACCTACAATGTGTGAGAATATCCAAAGCTTTTTGAGTAAATGAGAGGGATGAAGAGATCTGCCCTGCTACATTTCAAAATATGCCAAAGACAAGTTAATTAAAACAAAGTGCCCTGGTATGGGCTAAAACTCAATTAAAAAAAAAAATAGACAACCCAGAAACAGACCCATACTTTTTAAGAGTTGAATGGGATTAAGCAACTTTCAAATTAATTAAGATATAGTGACAAAATAACACAGACTCAAAGACAAATATTATAAGTTTTCTCTCATATATGGAATTCAGACTTTAAAAAAAAAAAGGAAAAAAAGGACATGAATGCAAAAGAGGTTCTACTTGGGAGAAGGGAGCCAGTGGGAAGGGAGAGGGAGAAAGTGAGGGTTATACGCACTATGGAAATGTCATAATGAAACCCATTTAAAGTTGTAAAGAGAAAAGGAGGGAGAGGGAATAAGAACAAGTAGAGGGGGTGAATATGATCAAAATACAATATATGCATGCATGGAAGTATCACAATGAAACCACTTTATATAATTAATATAATAAAAATTAAGTGGGGAAAGAAGATATAAATATATCTTAACAAATGGCTATTTGTAAAATAATTAAGGTGAGATCTTCACAACATACACAAAAATTCCTGCTAGCTTGATTAAATTTTAAAGAAAAAGCTAAAATAAAATAGTAAAATAAAAGACAAGAAAATAGTTGTGCAACCTTAAAATTTGGAAGGTAAAAGTTATAAGACAAAGAGATAGACAAATACAACCACATAAAAACCTAAAGGGGATGAGGGTATGGCTCAGTGGTAGAGTGCTTTGCATATATGAGGCCACGGGTTTAATCCCCAGCACAGCCAAAAAAAGTAAAACTTCTAAAAGACACCATAAAAAGGCAACTTTATAGTTCCTAAAAATAATTAGTAAAGAAGATGAACAACTCACAATAAGAACAAAATTAAAAGAACTAACAACCCAAACAGGAGAGTCCCACAAGAAATTGTTAATAAACTATGAAAAGACAAAAGATGCTCTACTATAACTATTGTTAAACAATAAGACAATAGATGGCTAACATCGCTGAAGTGCTCATCTGTACTATAGTGGGAATAAACACAAACACAATCTGGGGCATTCTGACAGGACCTATAAAATATTAAATGCATATACTATTCAGTCTAGTCTTACTATTTATGGAACCTACTCTTCAGAAACACCTCATGATGCAAAAAATCTGTGTGCAAGTATCATTAAAATATCATTTGTGTAGAGAGAAAAAAAGATCAAAGTAACATGTTCATTAATAGGATAATGGTTAGAGAATTTATGGTACAGCTACACTAGAGCACTTTATATAGACAACTTTAATGTCTATGTATCAATTAGGTTACACGTATATATATTAAGTATAATATACATGGTATGATCTCATATTTACTTTTGTGAATAGAGGAAGTCTGAAAGAATACCCAACCAAATACTATCAATAGGACTGGGTAGTGATACTTAAAGACAATGCAGGGGAACTTTCTTCTTTTTCATCATTTACAATGTTTTTGATACTGAGTGAGTATGTATTAACTTTTTTTGTGTGTGTGTGGTAATGGTCTTTGAACACAGAGCATTCAGCTTGAGTCACTCCACCAGCCCTTTTTTGTGATTTTTTTTTTTTTTTTTGAGATAGAGTGTCACAAACTATTTGCCCAGGCTGGCTTTGAACTGCAATCCTCCTAATCTTTGCCTCCTGATTAGCTAGGATTACAAGTGTGAGCCACTGTGCCTGGCTTAACTTTGTTTTAAAATGATAAACTATCATTCTGCTTCTAACCACAACAGAGTAACTGGCCTAGGTTTCCGACGGTAAGCAACAACAGTAGACATATCTGAAACAAGTGTTTTCATATTTTGAAGAACAAGCAGGAAAAAAGTGAGACAGATTCCTGGGAAAAGGGAAACACCAATGTAATCCCCACAATGTTCTGCCTGATGCACTGTCCAGGCTGCAGAACAGAAGACAGGACTCTAAGCAAAGAAGTGGAGACACAAGCTGAGGGGACAAAGTGGCAGCTTGGAATTACTGAAGTAAATAATTTGCAGAATAGATCCCAGAGAGAAGGGAGCTGCAGAGGAGCTCTAAAAATCTAGTGTAAATGTACTTTCCATGGACAATATTGTTACCAGCATGACATAACTGGACACAGAGTTCAGAGGGATGTACACAACCAGCTCCCACAATGGTTCCAGCACACCTGAGAGGCAGGAGAGGTCTAGCCTATGAGGAAAGAGTTTAAGCAGGAGGTTTGGTCTGCTCAATTCTTGCTAAATTACAGGCATGCCAGGATCCATACTTCTGACCCTTGAACAAGTTCTGAAAACCAAACCTTGGAATGCTTAAATAGTCACCAATTAATGATGTTTTCTGTGTGTGGAACACTAGAAAGGATGTACCAGACTGTCACCATTCCTTAAACATGAACATTTATGATGTGCACCTGGTGCCTAGTGTGGTGTCTGTACTATAACTAATCATATGGTAGACATAGGCCAATGTGATCAACTCCCTTTAAGAATGCCAGACTTCACACCCTGAGGAGTTTGTGAGGTAGCTTCAGAGCCTCAGAATCTGCCCAGAACAATTAATTAATTAAAAACAAACAAAAAAACACACCAAAACTCAAGCAGTCTTCACTAGGTGGATATTTACCACATTAGTGTAGATCACAGCTAGAGAGGAAGTGTATTTGTATACCCATCACAGAGGGAGGACTTGGAAGCCTGAACCTGATTTTCGGGAGTCTGATTACAAATACACATTTCCTTCTCATTCTTATTGTGTGTTTGCTGTAATACTCTTAGGCATGAGTCATGCTGGGTCATGTGAGTCATTCCTGTAGATCACTGAACTAAGGGCTGGTCATGGGTCCCTGAAACACAGCCTACGGAAAGGTTATGTTACAGCATCCCTAACAAAGCTTACAGTTTAAAAATCAAATGTCAGTAGGATCAAGCTGTGATTAAGATGACATTAGCAAGAATCGGATTTTCTCTTCTGCATGAAATAATCAAAAAATTCTATACAAAAATGCAACCAGTTTCCAATACACAGAAGGTCAGATAATGAAGAAGAGCGATCCTTGAGAATCAGGAAACAAATGAAGTGAGCCCTACGACTGCTCCAACTCACTGCCTTGAGAGTTTCTAAGCAGTGATACAGGGAGGGGGAGCCCAGGAAGAGCCTAGCAGTTTACTGACGGTTTGAGGAAATCAAGGTGATTATACTTCCAGGAGAAACTACTAGAAAGAAGAAAGTTATACAAAAAAGGGAAGCAAGAATTGCAGAGATTTCCTCATGAGTATTCAGCAAAGTACCAATCAGTGTATGTGTATGATGAGATTACCGAAGGCCAGGGAAAGAATGATACAAAAGGATTCAAGGGACCAGTGCCAATGTTCAACAGGACTGAAAAAACAACCCGTTCCCACAAGTCAAACCATAAAACTTTGTAATTTATGAAGCACTATGTACAGTTCTCAACATGATCTTGCTTCTCTAGTGAGGAAAAAATGGACTTAGCCTAAATGTTTTTCTGGGCTCACCTAGTGAATCTTAAAAAGCCTGAAAGGAAGCACTGGTTCCAGTACCTTAACTGCATCCCAAAATAAGAATCCAGAATATTTTATAGGAATATAAAAATATGTACAATAAGGTAAAATTCAGTGTGCTGCATTTAGTTAAAGGTTAGCAAATATGTAGAGAAGCAGGAAAATATACTCATAGTGAGTAAAGAAAAAAAAAATCAATCAACTGAAACCAACCCAGAACTAACAAAGATGCTAGGATTAACAGAGAAGGGGCATTAAAAGTTATGACTATATTCCACATATCAAAAATTTAAGAAGATACGGAAGACATTGAAAAGCAGCATATGGAACTCACAGGGCTGAAACTAAGAATGTACAGAAATGAAAAATATACTAGATAATATTAACAGATTAGGTACTGAAGAAGAAAAGGTAGTATCTTCAATGACATAAAAATAGAAATGAAAATGAAACATATAGAAAAAAAGACACAGTATTGGAGAGCTATGGAAAAGCTTTAAATACCCCAATATATGTGCAACTAGGGTGGGGGAACAGGGGTAGGAAATGTTTTGAAGAAATAACAGCTAATTACTTCCCAAACTTGAAAATTATAAACTTGTAGATCTAAGAAATTCAATAAACTGCAAGCACAAGAAATACAAAGAAAACTGCACTAAGGTACATTGTAATCAAATAGCTCAAACTCTACCCAGAGGAAAAAAGATTTATAAATACAAAGGAACAAAGATGATCAGGACAGTAGCTTTACTTGCTGCAAACAAAGCAAGCAAGAAGACAACAGAACAATGCCAAGTACTGAAGTTTGTCAAACTAGAATTCAAAAATAAAGGTGAAATAAAGACTTTTCCAGACATAAAAACCTGAAGGAATTCATAAATTATACAAAATGTTAAAGGAAGTCCTTTAATAGAAGGAAATAATACCAGATGAAAATGTGGTTCTACATGAAGCTGCCAGTAGCACTTCCCACAAGTCATGACAATCAAAAAAATTTCTCTAAACAATTCTAAATGCCCCTGGGGGAAAATCATCCCCAACTGTGAACTATTAATTTACACAAAGGAATGAAGAATATCAGAAATGGTAACTACTTGGGAAATTATAATTTTTTTCCTTATTACTTAAACCTCTTTCCAAGATAATTGCCAGCTTAACTGAAACTATTGTAGATTTTATAACAAATGCATATACATAAAATATATGGCAACAATCTAATAAAAACTGGGAGGGGAGAAATAGGAGCAGATTACTTAAGGTTCTTATTCATGATGCAGTTTGTCACTTGAGGTAAATGGTGGTAAATATGTAAACGTAAAGTAACAACTAAAATAACAAAGAGATATAGTTAATTTTTCAGTGAAGGAAATAACACAGAATCAAGAATATTCAATGTAAAAGAAAGAATAGAGGAAAAAGAACAAAGACAACATGAATAGAAAACAAAAGGCAAGATAATAGACTTAAGCTTACCCATATCCAGTCACATTATATGTAAATGTGTCACATTAAATATAAAATCATATTAAACATAAATGGTCTACACACCTCAATTAATAGGCAGAGATTGCCAGATTGGATTTTAAAAGCAAAATTCAGGGACTGGAGTATGTGCTTAGCATACTCCAGGCCCTGGGTTAAATTCTCAGCATCAAAAAAAACCAAAAATTAAAACTACATGTTGCTTATAAGTAACTCACTTTAAATATAAAAAATATAAATAAAAGCAAAAAAATGGGAAAAGATACACAAGGCTGACACAAATATCAAAGTAAATTTCAGGGCAAGTGATATTATCATGCATAAAAAAAGGTCATTTCTTAATGATAAATGAGTCAACTAATTAAGAGGACATATCAATCCTTAATGCAACTAACAGAGCTTCAAAGTATATGCAACAAAAACTCACAGAATGGCAAGGAGAAATAGACATACCCAAATATTCTGAGATTTCAATATTTCTTTCACAATAAATTGGATAAAATTAGTGGACAGAAATTCAATACAGATATAAAAGACCTGAACAAAACTATCGATCTGAACAAAACTATCAACCAACTTGATCGGATATCTCTAAGATAAAAAATAATAAACCTCCTAATAACCTCCATGTCTTAATCCTTGAAACCTGTGCATATGATACTTAACACACGCAGCTTCTAGAAGCTGGTAAGGAAACACATTCATAGGAATGTAGGCCTGCCAACCCATTTTGGACTTTTGACCTCTAAAACTGTATATATGTGTTATTTTAAGCCAACTCAACTTGTGGTGATTAATTACAGCAGCAGTAGGAAATTAATATAGATATGGAACACTTCACCCAACAATAGTCATTTACAACATGGACCATACTCTGGGCAAAAGAAAAGAGTCAAAACAAATCTCAATAAATTTAAAAGGCTTCACGTCATACAAAGTGTGTTCTCTAACATTCACTCTTAAATGTGGTGATTGTTTCGTGTATATATACATACATTAAAACTTCACCAATTATATCCACATCTGTGGATTCAACTGGCTGTGGATAGAATATATTCAAAGAACATGTATAGATACTTTTTTTTCTTGTTATTACGTCCTAAACAATACAGTATAGCAACTATATATAGCATTTACATTGTATTAGGTACTGTAAGTATCTAGAGATGATTTAAAGTATGCTGGAGGATATGTACAGGTTATATGCAAATACTAAACCATCTGATATAAGGGACTTGATCACCAAGGCATTTTGGTATTTGCAAATCAAATCCCTCTAGGACACTGAGGGATGACTATGTGCAGTTTATTGTCACAACATAACTCAATAAAAAATAGTGATACTGAAAGTGCTTAAGTTGAAAATGGGAGGAACTGGGACTATTTCTTTGGTAAAAGATTAAGCTATAGGACAGGAAGCAGGGGAAAAGACTAACAAGAAGGAACTGACAAAAGAGAGAATAAGGTTAATTATGGACAATAGAGCAACTGTTACCTTTATCTGGTCACTTTTCCTTCATTAGAAACCATTAATTATTTGCAAATGGCCTATGAAATAAAGCCCTCAACTTTTTACCCAGACATTCAAACCTTTCATATTCTGATCTTATTCAACCATTTGTTTACCACTTGTCAAAATAAACCATCTGCTCAAAATTTTTCTGAATCCTATGTAACTCTTCTAGTATTTACTTGTGAACTTCTGCTTAACAACCTCTTCATACTTAAAACCCGCCCCTTGTACCTTACTGCTTCAATTATTTAAATGTTACCCATCCTTTGAGAAGTAGCACAAATTTCACATTCTCCATGAAGCTCCTCTCCAAAGCCCCTCCAGATCACATACAATTTCATTCTCTAATTTTCATAGTACTCATTTCACCATTTTTATAGTCATTTCATGGTTTTTCGTGGTCATTTTAGTCTAGTCAAGTAAATAATTAAATTTCGTATGCATTTTCCTCCCCCATCCTTGCAGCATGGCAAGATACTAAGCAAGAGGTAAGTAGTGAAGATATGAGTTAAGCATGGAGAGACAGAGCCAGGAACGAGGTCCCTGGGCAGATGAGAGCCCAGAATAAATTATCAGCACTGGTAAACATCCCCCACAGCAAAAGAATACACAATCCTACTCTAAGAAATGAAATGGCATTTCAGGAAATTTCAACTTACCCGAAAACTGGCTGATGGGAGTAGGGTATATCCCTCTTGGAGATGGACAGAGTCTGGAGAAGAGGGATCTATGGGAGGAAAAAAGATGCAATGAATTCTGTCCAAATTAACTGCTCCTAGTAATCCATAAAATACACTTACTTTTCTATTTGGAAATAACAGAAACTGCACCACTTTTGTTACATTTCAGAATTTTTAAAAAGGTATATTGTTAACTGGGGCCTCGGTATCCTCCTTAGTAGGCTCAGGAGGTAAAGCACTGCTTTAAGATTCAGTTTTGTCCTTAGATACTTAACTAGTCAAATGGCTCACACAGCTAAATCTGTATTTCTCATTAAGTGAGGCAAAATATTTTATTGCCTCTTATCTGCTACAGATAAAATATAAAGAAATATCAGATGACTTTTCAAAAGTCTTCATAGGCCCTTGGAAAACTTCACTATTAAGTCAAATTAAATATCACTATAATATATACTATTTACTTATCTACCAGATAATAGACATGGTCAATACTAATTGCTGTCAAGAAATACAAAGAAATCAGAACAATATAAATTGATCAAGCACTTAGGAAAGCTGGCAGCATATACTAAAGCTAAACCTTTGTCTACTTTATGACCCAGCAATTCTATTCCTGTGCATACAAAGACTTGTATAAGAATATTCATAGCAAGTTTATTCATAATATCTCAAAACTGAAAACAACTAATGACTAACACAGATCTCATAAACAATGTTCAGAAAAATTAGCCAGACACAAAAGAATGTATTATGGGACTCTACATTAAGTTCAAAAACAGACCAAACTGACCTATAGAGATGAAATTAGAATAGTGGTTACCTCTGGAGAGATTGCTTACTGGGCAAGGACACAAGAGAGTTTGGGCATTAGAAACATTGTCTTGGTGTGGGTGTTGGCTATACTATAATATACATGCATACATACATAAAAACTTAAGCTGTACTTTGTACACTTAATATTTGTGCATGTTATGTAATTTATACCTCAAAAAACAAAATGAAAATAAACTATGCTTTTGGACAGAAAAGTCTGATTTTCAGAGCCACTGACAAATTAACAGTAATTAATCACATATAATTATGTAAGTCCCTTGTCTTCTGTAGGCTTCAATCTCTGTTTCTTTGAAAGTGTGGAGACAAATATCTTACAAACATTCCTTTCAAAATTCTCTTGAGAAGATAAAGGTGAGGGAAGCCAAATGAGGTACACCTGTTTCTATAGGTGCAGACAAGAAGAATGTCGTACCCTTTAAAGTTTAATGTGTTCAGAAAGAATAGCAAAGGAAGATGTCTCTAGATACAAAATTTGTATTAGAGACATGAGCTCTGAAGTAGAAACAGCAACAATGCTTTTTAAAAAGGCTTGGTTAAAAAACAAAACAAAACAACGGCTCAGTGGTAGGATGTCTGCCTAGGATGCACCAGGCACTGGGGCTCAACCTTCAGCACAAAGAGAAAAGGAGCCCTAGCTACAAGACTGAAATAGGAGGATTCCTTGTGCCCACGAATTTGAGGCCAGCCTAGGCAACTTGGTGAGACCCCATAGGAGGATTCCTTGTGCCCACGAATTTGAGGCCAGCCTAGGCAACTTGGTGAGACCCCATCAACAACAATAGAGGAAGGGGAGGGCAAGGAGGAGGGGGCAAAGGGGAAGAGAAGAAAGATGATTTATGACCACAGACACAAATGCATGAGATTGTGACTTAATTTAAATGTGAACAAAAGGAGGAAAACATAATGTTTTAGGTATTACCAAGGTTTGTTGAGATGAAAGTCATAACTAGAATAAGACCCTCAAACTATATAACTTAAAAAAAAGAAGAGATCAAATATAAGGATACTGAGGACTGAGGATACAAAGAAAAGCTAAACAATCAAATGAACAGGGCCCAAATAATTTCAGAGGATCTAGACTGTACTATTAATATATATGGACAGTCTTCTGGGGAGACCACTATTGAGATTGGTCAGCACAATCTAATTTTTGTTGCAACATTCAAGTTCTCCAGAAAGACCCATTGGCCTGTTGTTTATTTTATGACCAAGGCTTGGCTAAAAGAGGGCTGGGTAAAACTGAATATGGTGATCCACATCTATAATCTCAGCACTTGGTAGGCTGAGGCAAGAGGTTCAAGAATTCAAGAATTCTTGAGCTATACAGCAAGTTCCAGGCCAGTGTGGGCTATACAGAGAAACCCTGTCTCAACCAAAAAAAAAAAAAGGGAAGGGGGCTGGGTAAAACTTACTCAAAATGATCTGACAGATGAAACAGGTAGACAATGTATACAATAATACTGAGTGTGAAACTCAGTGGGAACTGTAGACAAACCAAAAGGAGAAAAGCAAAAGTAGCACCATGCTGACAGCAGCATGCCATGGAAAGCTTAGGTAAGCAAGGGCAAATGAAGAATATGGAAGAAAGCTAGAATGGTTATGATGATTTCAACCATTTAGAGAGTTTCATTTTTATCAAGTTTCATTTTGTATAAATAATGTTAGCCAAGAAATTCTTAGCCAGGTGCTGGTGCCTCACCCACCAGCCTATAATCCTAGCTACTCAGGAGGCAAAGATCAGGAAAAACACAGTTTGAAGCCAGCCTGGGCAAATAGTTAGTGAGACCTTGTCTCAAAAAACCCTATCACAAAAAAGTGGGCTCGTGGAGTGGGTTAAGGTGAAAGCCCTAAGTTCAACCCCTAGTACTGCAAAAAAAAAAAAAGAAATTCTAGATTTATCTTAACGGTGTCATACCTCAGAAAGTAGTAGTAGTAATAAACTATTAGTTTCAACTTAATTTTGACCGGAAATGACTATTTTGTAACAGAAATCTTGAGGACAAAAATAAAAATGTTATCTTGGAGTTTTTAGCAGTGAAAAGAAAATGCAGAAGGATAGTTGGCTACACCAAACTTTGAGAAAACAGAGTCAAGAGAAATGTCTCAAGATGTTTTTGAGTTCAAGTAACAGAAACTAAAAGAATCAACAACAGTAATAGTTACATAAACTAACTATGTACCTGGCTTAGTGAGACTGGGGGCATGGCCCAAAGCATGCATAGGAAGTGTGAGACCCTTAGTTCAAACCCTCAAAATATGCTCCGTGAATATTACAAATATTATCATGATTACAAGGCTAAGGAAAGGTAATCCAACTATAAAATTGTGTAAAGTCCCAAAAAGACAGAAAAAACAAAATGATTAATGGAACCATTTTGGTCAATTTAAATTTAAGAAACTGTTACGGTTTCAATATGAAATGTCTCCCATACGCTCAAGTGTTGAACACTTAGTTCCAGGCAGTGGCCCTATTTTGGGAGGTGATAGAAACTTTAGGAGGTAGGGCACAGCTAGAGGAAGTAGGCCTTCGAAGGTTATACCTGGCCCCAGGTATTTTCCTATCTACTTCCTGTCTGCCATGAGTGAGTACCTTTGCCACATACTCCTGCTACCATGATGTTCTGCCTCACCATGGATCCAGAGTCAACAGAGTCAGGACTAACAGACTGAAATCTCAAACCATGAGCCAAAATAAATCTTTGCTCCTCTTAAATTGTTGTCCTTGATTATTTGGTCACAGGGATGACTTAGAATTTAAAACATTTTAACAAGATATGAGGGACAGAAAAATTGAGGGCAAATATAAATTATAGCTCCAATCTATACTAGCAATATTAAAATTATTTTTAAGCAATGCAAGATAAAGGACAGCATGTTAACAGGTTAAACCAAACCTGACTGCGTGTACATATGTTAAGAATGGAAACACAAAGACAATGTAGAGGGAAGTCTATTTTGACATGTCACAGAGCTTTGTTCTTGCCCCGGCCTATTTAATGATATGTAGGAATATTCATCAAATGTGGAAGTGACATAAAGTTGGAAAGTGCTGGAATGACAGGTGGCCACCTCCAGGCCCAGCTATTGGTGATCTTTTTCAAAGCACAAACAATCTGATGCCAAACACCAGAAGTATAATGCAAATCAAAAAGCAATGCATAAACTGGGTGTGGTGGCACATGGCTGTAATCTCAGCACTTGGGAGGCAGAAGCAAGAAGATCTCAAAATAAAGGATAGTATGGGCTATACAAGGTCCTGTCTCAAAAAGACAAAAAATAGTCCCAGCATGGTGGTAAATGTCTGTAATCCCAACTACTCCAATGGCAGAGATCAGGAGATCACAGTTTGAGACCAGCCTGGGCAAAAAGTTAGCAAAACCCTATCTCAACCAACAATCCTGTGCCTTTAATCCCAGGCTGTGCCCAGGCAAAAACAGTAGACTCTATCCAAAAAATAACTAAGGCAAAAAAGGGCTGGTGTGTGTGGCTCAAGTGGTAGAGCACCTGCCTAGAAGACAAGTCCCTGAATTCACACTACCAAAAAAAATTTTTTTTAATCATACTTTCAAAGTGCATCTAAAGAACTATGTTTAGTTTTACTCACTGAAGTTTAAGAAAAATGCTGTCAAGCAAAAGTTTTCAGAGAAGTCTAGAGATACCACATGGACCCTTCAAAGGAACTGAAACTAGACTTCTTAAAAAAAATTGTAAGATGGTTGTAACAGCTGAATTCACAGATAAAGGCAGCAGCAATGGAAAGAAAGAACAGTCTTCTGTACTTGTGGAGGTTAAGAACAAAGATCAATACATAAGTTACAGGAACAGGCACTTCTAATATAAGGAATTGCCTGCACTCAAAATGACGAGTTTAGTGCCACACTTAGTTTAGCACGGCTTGACAGACAGACATCTGCAAGGATATTTCAAAACTCATTCTTGCATTGAAGAGATGAATTACCAAGATGTTTTTCTGACCATAAGATTATCATTCTAAAATGTAATGAAGAGAAGTTCTATGGGGGAGGGATCAGAGATATTTTGAATTCTTGCTCCTTTCATTCCCTAGTCCAGAAGTCAGGGAAAATGAACTCTTCCCCAAGACTCTCCTTACAATGTTATTCAGTTTCCTTACTTAACCCTGAACACACCGCTCCCGCCTCCCACCTATCCCAGCTCTGCATGTACGAGATCCTCAGTTCTATTTTCTAGCCTCTTCTCCTCAGAAGTCGCCATTACCTTCCATCTCAGGAGTTCATCCCGTTCCTCTGGAACTTGGGCACCAGGTTTCCCAGGCAGCGTCTAGCTGGTACCTCTCAGTCTCAGATGTCCAGCTCCCCTGTAGAATCGGAGCCCTTACACACGCTGGGGTTGGCTGCCCTAACAGACACAGGATGGAGTCAGCAGCATACGTCACAATCACACCTCAGAGTCTTAACAGTGGCCAAGACATCCTGCACAAGAGAAGAGTACTAGAGAGGCTTGTGAGGCTACCGATAAACTGAAGATCGAGTAGGCAGGTTCTGCCAAAGTACCTTAGTGCCCACCCTAGAATCTGGGCGCCCACAGACCCGGCCCGTTACCTCTGTGCACACTCGCGGCTCACACCCCCTACGGGCTCGGATACAGGAAGACACACCTGTTGCAGAATGTAAATGTTGGAAGGTGGACAAGCAGGGCGGGGCCCGGCACCCAGCTTCCCCTTACACCAGAACAAAGAACAAAGCCCTCCAAGGGATCAGGGCGGGACCGCCACGCACAGAAGGAGGCGAGGTGCGCCCCCTTCGAGGACTCCCCAGCTTCCTCCTGCGGACGCCGAGTCACGCAAAGCCAGAAGGGTGACGTCACTGGCCCAGAGGGCTGGCAGTTGCCATGGGGATACCTGGACTCTCCTCCCTCTATAGCGGTCCACACACTGTGATCCTGGGCCCTGGGCTCTGGGACAGTCACCACACCTAAGGAAGGGAGCCAAGCTGCTGGACTAGCCGAGAGCCAGCCTGTTTCCACGCCCACAGTAGGCTTCAACAGTCACTTCCGGTCGTGCCAGAGAGCCCCGCCTCACACGCCGACTGCATTAGGCCGCACCGGCCGGCTCATGGGACTACCATTCCCAGAATGCATCACGCGATTTTGCTGAACTACATTTCCCAGGTTTCAACCAATATGTAAGTTCCTGCTGCTTGTCTTTGGATGTTTCACCCGCCAGGAATTTGCTTCCGATGGTTCGGGATGTGAGTGATGGTTGTTGTATTTGTCTCACCGAACTAATTTTAAGACATACACACATTTATACCCTTGTACTTTTAAAACTTAACCATTTCACGGCACAATATTTTTATTACTTGGCCTGCGTTCTAATCTATGTTCTTTTCCTTTGTCGTTTAAAAAATATTGGTCGTTAACCATTAAATTGTTTTCATGATTTTCAAACTGGTTACCACCCATGGTTTTTAAAATGCTAACGGAAATCCACGGGTGGTGTTACGGTATTTTACCCTTTAGTAGTTCACTGTATGTGCCTACGTCAAGCGCGTGGCTTTGAGAACAACCCAAGGCAAATCTGTCAGTGTGCCCTTGGTATGAAAGAATTCAACAAATAGTTAGGTTTTTATATTTTAAGGCTGTGGCCCGCGCACTTAATGTGCCTCCATACATCGCCAGTATTTGGATACAAGGGCTATATAGTCAAGTGGATGAACTTACTGCTGACAAAGCACTAGACCGGGAAATCCTAACGCTGAATGTATGAAAAAACAAACAAAGTTACAGATAAACAAAAGGGAATAATATTTAGAAAAGCAGATTCAGGAAAAGATCTACTGCAGGAGGTAGAAAAGAATTTCAGGAAATAATCTGGTATTCTCAGTAGAGTACAAAAAGACATGGCATGAATGGAACAGGAAAGAATGCTGTGAGAAAGCCAGCTAAAATAAGAAACTAGATGAAAAGGGATTAAAAACATAGCAAGCATATTTAAAATGCAGCAATAAAGTCACACTGGATAAGAATTAATGTTATGAGAAAGTGAATCATTTAGGTATAGAGTAGTCTTTTTTTCTTTCTTTCTTTTTTGCAGTACTAGGGTTTGAACTCAGGGCCTCATGCTTGCTAGGCAGGTACTATACCACTTGAGCCACTCCACCAGCCCTAGGATAGATAGTCTTTTAAAGATTGTCCATGATTTAAAAAAGAAAAATGAGCTGGGGACATGGCTCATGTGGTAGAGTGATTGCCTAGCATATGCAAGGCCCTGGGTTCAATCCTCAGCATTGAACATATTATATATTAAAGAAAGTGACAAGTATGAGTGGCACAGAATAGAAAGCCAACATGTAGATAATTGTAGTTGTCAATCACAGGCCAGATAACAATCAGCTATTATTTAACCCTTTCTATGTGCCAGGAAGTGTTCCAAGTGCTGTACATCTAGTAACTTATTTAATTCTTAAAACAATTTAATGAAACTACTTCTTTGTTATTCTGCTTTATGCCAAAAGAAGCTGAGTCACAAATAGCTTGAGTAACTTGCTCAAGGTCACACAGCCAACAAATGGGGAAACTAGAACTTGAATTTTACTAATCTGGTCCCATGAACTTTTAATCTCCATCACTAGACTCCCTAGTAAAGAGACAAAATATTTTTTGAGCTTAAGAAAGAACACAGGCTGGGTGCATGGCTCAAGTGGTAGAATGCCTGTCTAGCAAGTATGAGACCCTGAGTTCAAACCCCAGTACCACCACTAG